ATAACATGGAATGACAACAAAATTTAAACAAAAGATATTTGTTTGTTAATATATCTTTTATAAATTGGCTTCCAAATATCGACATAAAATAAAGCATTGTGTTGAATAAAAATCGTATAAAAATAAACATAAAAAAAATAGGAAAAAAATAAATTTTTACGGTAAATATTGATATTTAATTTAGTATACGCTATTTTTATTTATTGCACGTAAAAAAGATCAAAATTCTTCTTTTAAAAGAACAAAAGTAATACGCGCATGTTAATATAAGTCATATATGTTTTAAATAATGACCTAAAAACAAAAAAAAAGATTTAATTTTAAATAAAATTACAAGCTGTATTGGTTATTTTTATTTCACAAGCAGCAATACTTTCTTAAAATTTTGTTTCTAAAACTATCATAAACATAAGAAAAAACATAATAAATAGTCGTCAATCTTCATGAAATATAGTAATTTTAGATAGGCGATTTCTTGTCTTTATAAATATAATTTTGTAATAAACACGATGTTGTAGTGGCAAAAGTTGAAAAAAATTAGACTATGTTTAGCGTTTGAACATATATTTTTAACTGCTGAACAATTTTATTTACTATATCCGAACAGTTTGTATTGTTTATTTGTACTTTCCAATCACAAAGAATTCATGCTGTTAAGAATGTCATTGTGACACGCTTCACTATTATCTATATAATATTAATACAGTATTACAAAAAATTGTTTATAATAACTCTTGTTATTTTAATTATTAATTAGATGTACGTTGTATTAGATATTTTTATTGACTTAGTAATAACAATTTATATTTAGATATTTATGAGTATGTTGACTGTGTAACTTATAAAAAGTATTTGGTTTCTTTGCAATATATTTCATATTTTGATAGTTAAATGAGAGGAAAATATTTAAAATATTAATTTTATANTTCCAATGAATTATTAAATTGGCTTGTTGAAGAAAATTATTTAAAATCACTCTGTAAGAATATGTTATTAATTTTTATTCATTTATTTTAAGCTCACTTATATTAAATAAGAATATTAATCTGAACATTAGCTTTGTAAAATACAGTTGCTTATGCAATTACTGAAACGATAACATTTATTTTACATCGACATAATGCTTTTCTGCATAGGATATAAACAAATCAAGAGTCCAAACGATTGCGGCACACCTATTGGCAAATTTGCAGGGGCGTGCCGTGACATTTGATGATAGGGAACCTGTGTTTTTGTAACAAGCCGACTTCCAGGGGCAATCAGTCAGTGATGGTCTAGGCCCTAGACCCACCATACTCAACCTTTTTTCTCGGGCCACATACACATGATAGCTATTACACGCGGGCCGCAACATAACAATTATAATAAAAAACTTACATAATTTTTCACTTACCCTAGAAATTTAGTGTGACTGTTGATATTGCGAACATTTTTTCACAATTTCATTTAAATCAGGCTTGTAACTGCTGCATGCTACTCGTAAAACGGCATCCAGGTGTGAATCAGTAAGCCGGTTTCTATATATGTTCTTTGCATATTTCATTTTTGAATATGACGTTTCACATAGATACGTTGATGCGAACAACGTAAGTAAAATTTGAGCACATTTTTTTACAGTCTTATATTGTTCGGGCACTACTTTCCAGAAGTCAACGTAATTATTTTCCGCTCTTTTTTCTTTAAAAATAGCTTCCAGGTGTGTATTGTTCTTCATCTCAATAAATTCGTCAAATAGCTCTGCGTAATTACATGCAAATATATCAGCCAATTCTGATATTATTGCCGGTTCCAAGTGCCAGGGATTTTCAATGAGCAACAGGATATTTTTTATTTTCCTTAGATCATGAAATCTATGTTTAAATTCCTCAGATAACGCAGTTAAATAATTTGAAAAAATTGTATAGTTTTCTGGAGAAATATTAATACCGTCCTGCTTAGCGTTTGTCATGGTTGGAAAATTTCGCAGTATTTTGTTCTGTATTTCTTGGTAATAAATGTTTAATTTTTCTTCGAAGGCAAATATTTTATTCGCCATCTGTGAAATTATTTTATTTTTACCCTGCAAACCAGTATTGAGACTGTTCAGCTTCTCTGTAATGTCGCACAGAAACGCTACAATACACCACCATTCATTATTTTGCAGTTCACTGTATATTTTATTATTTTGCTGTAAAAACAGCATTATTTCTTTTCGCAAAGAAAAAAACCTTTCCAGAACTTTCCCCCTGCTAAGCCAACGTACTGAGGTATGTAAAAGAACATCATTGTATTGACTATCCACTTCCTCTAAAAGACTTTTAAATTTTCTGTGGTTCAGTTCTCGTGCTCGGATATAATTCACTATATTTATGACAGTTTTCATCACAGTATCTACTTTAGGATTAGCAATACGTGAAGCCAAGTTTTCCTGATGAATGATGCAGTGAAATGTTATTAAATTTGTCAAATCATAATTCTGTTTCAGTAGAGAAATAAATCCATTTTCAGATCCAGTCATTGAAGGACAGCCATCGGTACACACACAAATTAATTTTTTTACATCTATCTTGTTCTGTTCTAGAAAATTGCAAATAGTATCGAGATAATCTTTGCCCCTGGTCTGGCCCTTCATTGGAAGGAATTTCAAAAAATCTTCGCAAATTGAATTTTGTACTGTACAATATCTAACAAAAACCGAGCATTGTGATGTCGCTGAAATATCCGTGCTAGAGTCAAAAGCTAAACTAAAAAACTTGCAGTTTTTCAAGTCTTCAATTACGTTATCACAAATATGGTTCGCAATATCTTCAATACGTCTAACACAGGTAGAATCTGAAAGCTGGATTTTTTTTATTTCAGAAATTATTTGATTTTTGTTACTGAATTTATCAAACAGTACATTGGAAGCGCTTAAAAAACATTCCTTCACAATTTCAGCATCAGTAAACGGTTTCATATGTTTACCAAGTATATAACAAATTTCATACGATGCTTTCGTTACAGCTGCATCTTGTACTATTGCCACAGACATAATATTTTGTTGATTTTGCAATGACTTTTTAAAAATAGCCAATTTCTCGTGTCTTATGAGAGATCCTGGAGGAAAAGTATCATTGAACGATTTATGTTTAGTGTTAAAATGACGAGCAATATTATATTTTTTTAATATAACACTTTCACGACAAATCAAACAAGTTGCAAAACCGTGTTTGTTTTGCACTACAAAATAGTCAGCTTCCCATTCGTCTTGAAACATTCTATTTTCGTCAGACATTTTTCGTTTGTGTTTGGAAGACACTCCTGACATGGTTGATAATAATTATAAATTACAATTTCTCAAATAAAATGGTCTCTAATTCAATGTGATTTATTGTTTACTCAATTATAACTCTTAAGGTACTTTAACAATTACAGAGCCACAGAACACAAGCAAAACAAACAAGTTATGACTTACGACTTTAACCTATTCGATGTTTAAATTCTTGACGCCATGTTGAATTTTCGTCGAAAATTACACGTTTTTTTTTTTTTTAATAATCGTGGCTATTTTATCATCCGAAATTACTTGTTTTATTTTTCACAAACAAAATAGATATATTAATAAATATAAAAACAAAAAATTATTTCTAAAGTTCGTTTTAATATAAAAATTATGACGCATAGCGACATCTAGTATCAAAAACGTTCCGGTGCAGAAATGAATAAATTCGGGTTCGACAAATGAGGTCAACACGAAAATATTCGGGAACAACACGGGACGGGTATCGCGTGTAGGCGCTACGGGGTCTCTATAAATTACTAAGTCTAGCTCTACTTTTACCGTCTCTTGCGGATCGCCCCCTGATGGCCACCACGTGTTCACAATGCTCGGACATCCGGCGACAACTTTCTATGGACAAAAAGCACTTAGCGGTGTGGGCGGAGTGACCAAATCTATTTTTTGCCACGAAAATTTCAAAATTCATATTTTTACTGCATTATTTACGTCCGGGCCACTCACAAAAGGTCAGCGGGCCGCATGTGGCCCGCGGGCCGCAGATTGAGTATGGGGGCCCTAGACCATCACTGACTGATTGCCCCTGGAAGTCGGCTTGTTACAAAAACACAGCTTCCCTATCATCAAATGTCACGGCACGCCCCTGTAAAACATATATGAAAAAAATAACAAATACATTGGTGTACCACCACAGGAGTTATGGTAGTGACTCCCGGACAAGTAAAAAGTCATTGACTGACTACGTATACAGGGATCAGAGTTGCCGATTTTCAGAGATCGAGTTTTTCGACTCTCAAACACCTATAGTAATTTCTAATACTTCGTTTGGTTCGAAGAAAAATTTTTTTTTCTTAGGTAGTTGTATAAAGCGGTTGACGAAATATAAAGAATTGAAAAGTGCAAAAATTATGAAAAAAACTGTATTTTCTTTTCTTTTTCTTTATACAGCACAACAATTTATATTTATTCAAAGGATGGTTGAAGTTGCAATTCTGATCTTATGTATTCGCTGCTAATTGCCATTGCTTTGTTATCACATAGGAAATGCTTCGGTGTATTCATATACACAGATGTTGTAATCTGTTCTTTTATTTTAACTAGAGTAAGGTAACTTTCATTTGTCAGCCTTTTAGCTTGTTGGTCCTTTTGTTTATTCCTGGTTGAAAACTTGATATACAGTAAATATATTCAATTTTGCTAATTTTTCAAATTTAAGAAATTAAAATTTAAGTTTGTTAATTATCCAATTTCATGATTAATGATTTATTAATAAAATCAGTCAAAAGTTATTAACTTATTTGCGTTTTATAAACTGTATTTTTAACAAATTATACAGGCCTACTAAGAATTAAATTTCAGGAAATATTTTCGATATATTATTAAATAAAAACGAATTTTAATAAAAATAAAAATATTTTTATTTTATAGAATTTAAAATAAAAGTAATTTATTTTTAAAATAATTAATACTGTATTAAAAAATTATATCAATAAAATTATTTTAAATTGATATTATATTGTACGTCAAAAGGGGGCGTTTTAAACCTTACACATGTTGCGAATACAGTGTTTCTATTAGGATATATTCTGCAAATATACAATTAATTTGTTGAGGTAATTCTGTATAATTTTTAAAGTTTTATTAAATATTTGGACTTCTAAATCTTCGAGTAATGGCTTATAAATTTACGTATTTATTTGCTGTTTAAAAATCAAATTAATTGTCAATAATTTAATAACATTAGAGAAACAATTAGATATTGCCGTTTTCTGTTGTTACTTGTAACTCATGCAAATGTTAGCCTTAGGATTACCAAATCTCCAGTTTTCATGGATAGAATCTGGCTAAAAACGGAAGGAAGAAGATAACATGGTATGGAACATCATCATGAGATATGTAATGTTCATTGTTACCCCAACGTGCATACACCAGTTTCTTTTAGATGCCTGCTCAACTAAATTATTGTATATTATTATTATGGTGTAATTGGTTATGGTAATACTGCAATTGCAGTTTGGCAACCCTTTGGTTAGACTATTTCAGGGGTTCCCAACCTTGTGCCCACCGGTGCATGGGCACTTGTGGAGCTATTTACGTGTGCTCACAGCAAAGTTTTGAAATAATGAAAAGAAATTAAATGTTAAAAATAGAGAAAATAAAAAGTTATCCAATTTTATAATCTTGCTAGATGTAGTGAGAAATTTGCTAAATTGGGCTACACTGACCACTGTCTAATTTATCATGCTTATTATAATCATGTCTCCATGGCATCTATATTGTATTAGTAGTAAACTCATACTGTTGTCATCACATGCTATTATTATTATTATTTTTGTATATATACATTCTACCTCAAAATCAGTAATCCAAGTAAAAAAAAAACAAACCTATTATTTTAACAAAGATTGGGAAGACAACTACTTTGTTATCGAAAAAGGAGAAATGTATTTGCTTAATATGCAACAGTTTTGTGTCATTGGCAAAAAAACAAAACGTTGAATGTCATTACAAAACTAATCACAGTTCTTACAAGGTTAGTTATCTGCCTAAATCCGAGTTAAGAAAAAGAAAATTTAATCAACTGAAATCGAGATTATGTACCCAGCAAGTATTTTTTACCAGCCATGTAAATAAAAAAAAAAGTCACTATTGCTTCCTTTAAAATTTCTCATTTGTTGGCAAAATGAAAAAAAAACATTTTTAGAAAGTGAACTATTGATATTTAAGAAAGCATTTCTTGTTGGAGCTAATTCATTATTTGAAGGATTTTCTAATAAGTGAGAAATTATTTCACCAATGCAAGATTTGCCATTATCAAAAAATATAAGTACAAGAAGAATCCAGGCAATTTCAACAGGTTTACAAAGTCAGTTAAAAAATTATTTTTAAGAATGTGAGTATTTCTCATTACAATTAGACAAGTCAACAGATATATCAGATACAGTGAAATTGGCAGTAATGATAACAATTGTATTCAGTGATTTTAGTGTGAAAGAACTACTGTATTGGGTTACTATTAATGCAAGAGTGAACAAGAGGAAAAGATATTTATATCACCTTTAAAAATTACTCAACAAAAATTAATATGCCTTTACATAAGTTATCACAATAATTACTGATGGTACACCAGCAATGGTGAGCTGCAATAATGGATTCATTTCCCATTGCAAGAAAGATGAATCCTTTTCGAACTTATGTATTATCACTGTATTATACATCAAGAATCATTGTGTGCCAAAATATTATCCTTTAAACATGTTATGAATGTTGTTGTTAAAATAATTAACAAAATTCAAGCAAATCCTTTATCACATAGATTGTTTAAAGCCCTTGTGGAAAAAGATGAATCTTTCCAAGATGACCTTGGTTAAATAAAGGGGAAGCCCTTGGCCAATTTTTTGATCTTTTGAAAGAGAGAAAATTTCTTTATTTCAAAAGGTCAAATGTTTGAACTTTAGATAATCTACAATGGTTGATGGCCTTGGCTTTTTAAACTGACATATGTGAAAAATTGAGCAGTTTAAACCTGGATCTCTGGGAAAAAAATTAATATTAGCTGAAATGATTAGCTCTATAAAAGCATTCAAAGCCAAAATACAGTTTTGGATACATAATTTGTTGAAAAATTCTCTTGTACATTTCCAAGGATTAAAAAGTGACTGGTGAAAATAATTTTGACCTAACATTATTTTTTACTCATCTTAAAAACCTAAATCGTTCGAGACTGCATACTGTAATATCAAAACACTTACTAAAACACCTTTTCTTGCAGCCGAAGTTTATAAGAGAAACTTTCTAACGTTTTCGGTCTTGTTAAAAGACCTTTCTCAAGAAAAATAAATCAAATAAAACAACAAATTGTAAATCGAACGCTTAGTAAGCGTTCGATTTACAAGACCGCAAACGTTAGAAAGTTTCTCTTATAAACTTTGGCTGCAAGAAAAGATGTTTTAGTAAGTGTTTTGATCTTAAAAACCTTTTGGAACAGTTTGAAAGTAAATTCCAAAAATTTATGATTATTGAACCTGTGGCTACAATTCTTGTAAATCCTTTTACTACACAAGTAGATATTACTGAAACTGCTAAATCTATAGCAGAACTTTAAGAAAAAGCATCAATAATTGAAGAAGAGATTTTAGATTTTCAAAATGACAAAATATTAAAATCTCACGATACAGATGAAAACTTTTTGAATTTAGTTGAAAATAAAAAGTATAATCTTTTGAAAAAAAGGAGCCTTCAAAATCAAATTCTGTTTTGGTTCCACACATTTATGCAAATCTTTATTTCCCACCATGAGTATTATAAAATCAAAAATCAGATCTCAACTTACTAATGCCAACATTGTAGATTGTTTACAATTGGGATTATCATCTTACACTCCCTACTGTGAGAAATTAGCAAATGAAATGCAGTGTAAAAGATCACATTAATTTGGCTTTTATAATAAGTATATATGTTATAGTAAATATATGTTAGAAAATGCATGTTATAATAAAGGACAATATTTAATTTGTTTTTTTTTTTTTTTTTGAAATTTGATTTGTGCCTGCCACTACAGTAGTTTTTGCAATCTCGAATATGCTTGTGTAACAAAAAGGTTGGGAACCCCTGGTCTATTTTATATGCAGAGATAAATGACATACAGGTATTTCAGATATAATGTGGTCTTAAAAATGTGTATGAATGTAGAATGTCTGAAAGTTAAACAATACAGCTGTGGGTTATACATATGTTATGTTCTCTCTGGAAATGGAACTGTTTTCATAACATCCAAATAGAAAAAATAATAAAATTTAATTGAGGTAGGAAAGTTTTACTTTTATGCATTTAATCATATTCACTGAAAAAATATTATTAGAAATAGACAATAAATATTTTATTTTGACAAATCACAACACAAGAAATAGAGGGTTCTATCTGACTTAGATACATTTTTATGGCAGAAAAATTTGAAGTTTGGCCAACTTTTGCAAATTAGAACATATGTGTATGCTGAAAACTTGCCTTTACTCCTCTACTGCTTATAAAATGACAAAACTCTGTGTTAACAGAAAGATGATTGTCCAAAGAACAGATTAAAGTAAAAAAGTGAAAAAATGTAGATAGAATCTTCTGGTTCTCATCTCATAAAAAATGATTTTGCTATTACCAAAACGAAAACTAGCACATAGCATTTCCACATAATAATTCAAAATTTTTGTTTGTCATCTGAAAGTGTATGAAAGTCTAAATTTGAAATGTATGGTAAAAACAATTTAAGGATATTAAAGTATCACAAATGAAAGTCAAGAACTGTTTATATTAAAATGTATATAATCATTTTTCAAAATCGATGTTTGTTAAAGATTCTAAATTGAATATTATTAGTACAGTGGGTGATCAGATAACGAACACTTTCATGAAAGATTTTTATGTTCAGACAACAAACACCTCACAGAACAAACACAAGAAGCAGCGATGTAAAATAATGAATACCGATTGTTCTTCCTTTGTCTTCAGGCAACAATTCAAAACTTTTTGGAGTGCAGGAGATGTCAACATTGATGCTCAATCTGGTATATACAGATTGGACAGTATTTCTCTGAACTTTGAAACTCTCCCTTGTAATTTCAAACTTTTATTTTTCTGACAAACAATATTTTTATAGTATTTGTGAGCTCAGGCAGGCACTCGTTAAGTTTTGCATCGGTTTTTATTTTCAAAAGGTGAGAGTATAATAGCAAAGGTGGGCAGATGTCTGATGTTGCTGGGCAGTATGGCTTGAACAGATATACAATAGGCTGCAGTTCAATCTTATCTAAGAAAGATATGGTATAATCAAGAAGACTTAAGCAGCTAAAGGAGTAACAAAAATCACATTGAGAAATAAAGAACATTGAAGAGCTTATAACGGAAACTGACCTGATGACAGAACGCCAAGAAACTCGGTGAGATATGTTTTCTTCTGAAAAAAGAGGATTAATGCCAATATCTGCTATTAAAGATCTTTTGAAGAAGGAGGATGTCAGAACAATGGTCTTAGAATGGCATCCAAACCAGGTTGATGTTAATAGACTTGGGGATCTCTGCAATTACAATGCTATTAATTACTTCTGAAAAATCTTGAAGAAGAGAGAAAAGCAATCAACATTAGATAGATTCTTTAACCCTCACAAACAGAAAAAACATTACTAATAAAAATGCAAGACTGTGTATATATGTATTTTTATTATTACATATAAATAAACATAGGAAAATATATATTTTTATTTTTTGGAATATCCAGAACAAATTAATCAATTCCCATAAAAACCTATAGTAAATCAATAATGAACAATTAAATGAACGGTTAATGAACAATTCGGATAGTGAACAAAGTCTTGGAACAGATTATGTTCGTTAACTGATCACCTGCTGTATTTGTTTAAAGCAGACTGTCCACAAAACTACTTTGTAGACTGCATACTAGTTAAAGTTATCTGTACACTTTCCTCCATTCTCTGCATAAATTTTAATTTTTCCTCACAGTCTATTGAACAGTTTTGTTCAATAATACTACACAGTCAAATGTTGGTTTTTGAACTTAATTCATTTTTAAAACTTGTTCAAAAACCAATTTGTTCTAAAACCGAAACAAATATTCTGATAAACAGTATAAAATAGATTAATCCGTTCCTGATTCTCCAAAACAAAGCCTTTTTTTTTTTTTAAGCTTTTTAGCTGTATTTCATATATAAAAATGCCTTTAAATGCAATATAATAATATCTGTATCTAAATATCTTATTCTATATATATTGTATATCAAAAGCAAAATGTTCTGTCACTGCCAACCAACATTTATGATGATAACATAAATTTGGATGAAAAGCATCTCTCTTCATGGCTTAATTATGTTACAGATCTTCTTGATGTCTAATTTGTTCTACTCTAATGTATTAGCTGTTTTTTTCATATATTGGAGAAAAGCAAAAAATTTATCTAATTTGTATGTTACTATTGGAATAATTTAGTACCAAACAATCTATCATATTGTTTCTTAAAACTGAAATTTAATATAGGGCTTTACTCAACAGCTTATTAATTCTTAGACCAGTTATCTGAAAAAAATAAATAAATAAAATAAAAAAATATTTTAGCTAGTCAGTTGCAAAGTGTTTTCTCCAAGTTTGATTTTAGAACCAGCTTGGAAAGAACTCTAAAATATTAACTTCTTCATGGGAATCAGAAAACTTTATGCATTAAATAATAACTCTTGGTTGAATTTGAATTGACTCTTGTTTCTTTATTCATTATTTTAATAATTGGACAATTCATCATCATCATAATGAAATTAGATGCATAGAAGCTTATAGATTTTATTAATATTTTAGCAATTTTCTCTGTAATATACACAAAAATAGTGATGAAAATTTTTCTTTCCAGAATCTATACATGGCTTCTTCAACAATTATCAAAACTTCAGCAAATATCATTCAAGAATCTGTAAATCGTCTTCCACCTTTACCAAGCATCAAAGAACTTATGCACATGTATAAGTTAAAAGCAAGACGTCATTTATCTCAGAATTTTTTACTGGATTATAAGCTTACAAATAAAATTGTAAAATCTGCTGGTAGAGTCAAGGATTGTTATGTTTGTGAAGTTGGTCCTGGACCAGGAAATATTACTCGTTCAATTTTGATGAAAGGAGCCAAACATGTTGTTGTGATTGAGAAAGATGATAGATTTTTACCTAGTCTGGAGGTAAGTAATTTCAGAAATAAAATTTTTAAATTAATGGAAATTAAGAATTGATTATTTTTTTCAATTATTACAAGATTTTTCAATTATCTACGTGCTTAAATATTAATGCAATTTGCTGCTTTTCTATGATCATAAAATGCATCAAAAATTTTTAGTATGAAAAATATTATTATTGTTGAACTTTGTTTGCTTATCTGTACCCAAAATGTTGAGGCATTTTTTTTAATTTTTGATTATTTAGAAATTGGGAGATCTAATTTAGTTTATAATTTTAAATTAGGCAAATACAGACATTTCTTCATTATGGTGTCTTACAATGATAAATGATTCTGATATGTTCCATTAATATAAGTCAGAATTATCTTAATAAAACACATACGAAACTATCTGTGAGTTTATTAGATGTTATGCAGATATGTTGTTTCCATATAAATTTTTCCAATGGTAGGAAGGTAAGAATTAAAAAAAATCTACATATAAGACAATTTACATTTTATTTTTTGATTGTTTTATTAATTAATTGTATTATTAGGAGCAAAATTTCATAACCTAGCAATAACAGAAATTGAAAATGTATTATATAATTAAGCTTGTGATATTTTTAACGATAATATACACTGGCACAAATAAAAAATAAACATGAAGACCACTTTATTTAAGTTTACAGAAATTTAGCTTAAAAAGAGAGTTGTAAACTTAATCATCTTATCAGTAGACATATTTTTCATATGTCTACTGGTCTACTGTTTCATTAAAGTTATGCATTGAAATTAATACTGAATATGATCTATTTTAACAGTAATCATTTTAAAAGTTATGTCTTGAGCAATATCTTCAATTATGTAGTCAGTTTCCTAATATTAATGGCAAATTGAGGCTTGAATTAGTGCAATATTCCATCATTCCCATGTGTGTTCATAAAACAAGTTAGTACTTGGATTATATTGTAAAAATATCTACCAAAAATCAAAATTCCAGTTTGAAAACATAAATTTAAATATAGGAAGAGAACATGAGTCAGTTTTAAGGATAATAATACACTTCCAAAAGCATGAGCATCATTATTTGAAGTCAGTTTTTAATTTCAACCAGTTAGATGTTGTTCTGACCTTTTTAAACTTGTTTGTTCTAAATTTGTGTTCTTATTTAGAATATTTCTCTAACCTGATGATGGTTGCTTAAGGCAATTGAAAATATTTGTTTTGCATTAAATTTATATTTTCAGACTGGAGTTTTGGTGTTTGAAGGATGTTTTTATCATGTGTTCAATAAGGAGTAGATCTTGGAACCTGGCTGATTGGTTATCTCAATTGCTTCAAAAGCATTCTGTAATATGGCTGTGATCTTTAAGTGGACATTGTCTTGCTGAAAAATGCCATTTCAACACTAACTTAATCACACAATCTACATATCTACAGGATTCATATGCTGTGATCTTCATTTTTTTCAATTTTTACTAATTTTAAATTAATTCACAACATTTTTGTTGACAATGTTTAGCCACTGCTGAGTTAGTTTAATTATATTTTATTGCTCTAATGTCTTCAGAAATTCTTATACTTGGTTTTTTTTTGTTTCATCTACATATTTATATTTATTATTACAGTTACATTCAAAAGAATATACAACACGTTTTCTTTTTAGTACATCACCTTGTTTTGTTTCCTTTTTAAATCTTAATTATTTACATATATTATTTGTTTGTTCTGGTATTAATATTATGTTTACTTTTCTTACTATTTGTTTAATTACTTCAAATAATTTTTGTTCATAGAGTAATTTAATATATTTAACATCACTTTTATCTATTTCTATTTTTTGATCTTATAATTTAAGCCATTTTTCTAAAATTACTTTTGGGTAATTATTTAATAAGAACATATTAATAACTGATTTTATTTTGTTTTCTTGTTGTCTACTTTTTCTATTGTTAATTTTGTTAACATACATTTCAAAAACATTTCTTTTAATATACATTGGAACATATGAATAGTAATTAATCACTTTTGATACAGCAACAGGCTTTCTATATGTTTAAAATTCCAAATTATTATTATTTCTAATTATCTTAAGATATAAATATACTAAACTTCTATTTTTTTATTTTTTGTATTTTAAACTAAATATGATCATTTATTTCATTAATGTTTTCCAAAATCTGTTTTTCACATATCTGTTGTTTTATCAAACATTACAATACAATCATATGCATGCCTACTAAAAATACAATGCCTTTTACTTTACTTATCTGATCATCTGCTAATTTCATTACCAAATTTGCAATTGTAGGATCTATGCAGGTGCCCATTGGTATACTTATTTTTTGAATATAAAAATTACTATTATATTGAAAGTAATTATTTTTATTATAAAAACACACACATTATTTAACCACTGTTTACAATGTAAAGACTGTAACATTCCTTCTACATCTTCAATTTTTATACTGGATACATATTTAACTGTATTTGATCTAGTGGGAAAAAATAATTTTTTGAAAAATGAATAAGATACCTTTCTTGTAATTTTGTTGTAAAATAATTTTAAAATAATTTTTACAGAAAGTTTTTGTAACCTTCTACTGAAGAGGGGCGGTAATCTGAAATGCTGAATAACTAGCATACAGATTTGTATTACAATAAATGTCTGAAAAAAGATTGTCATTTTCTAGTTTTTTTTTGTACTCTCTTCTCCTTAATGTAACAAGTCCTTAAATGAAGTAAGGTTCTTGTAAATGCGTTTTTACAAGTAGTTTAAGCTTAACACTTCAAAAGCCTTAAATTGCATTCCAGTAAGGTTTAATTTGAAAAAATGGTTTTTTCAACTAACATTTTCAATCTTCAATTGGAGATCATCTTGAAATCAAACAATGACTTTTTTGAAAAATTAAACAAAAGCAATTCTCAAAATATATAAAATACAATTAAATGTAACAATAAATATAAAAGTTAATAGCAGTACCAAAAATATAAAAGTAAGAAAGTAAACATTTAAAAACTATATAACTATAATCAAGAACTTTTTGTTATACTGTCCCTACATCATGTTGTTACATCATATTTGGTCACGTGATCATATAAGGATTTCCATGCATATGATAATTATTTTTCATCCTTAAAATTTATGCAGTGGCTCTTTTTGTCAAATTGAAATATTTTTAATGTTTTTAGTATCGTGTTGGAGTCAGTGTGTTTTGATTTCTTGATGATAGTAGCCTTGTCAAGAAAGGTGTACATCTTGTTATCCACTGTATACATAGCTAGGGTGATGTTTTGTTTCTTTTTGTCAATATCATGTTTGTGTTCAGCTCTTATTTTGAGTGACCTTGTGGTGGAACTGATATATTCAAGTTTGTAGCCAGATGGGTCATCTTTCAAAATTCCTTTGAAAGATGACCCATTATATCAAGTTTTCATTGTAATTAATAAATTTTTAAATTATGCACTTTTTTGTTTTTAGCATATCCTTTTGATATTAGTCAATAAAGCAAGTTTCCTCTAATTGTAGTCTTATTTACTTATTCCACTTAATGTTATCAGTGTAGATGAAAATCCAAAGAGATTACAGTAAATAGATTCTACTGTATTATAGCATTTTTCAAGAAGTAACTATACATAAAATAATTGTTTAATGTTATAAATTTTAGCTTTTATCAAATGCAGCACCAGGAAGAATGAAAATAATACTTGGAGATGTTTTGGATTATAATATGGAAACTATTTTTCCTGAGTAAGTTTATATCAATTTATCATTTTTTTATTTTAGTATATTGCAAAAATTCAATTGAATTATTCTAAGTTATAAATCAATTACAGGAAGATAAAATAAAACTAAAATAATTTTCAAACAAGCTGGTTTTTACAATATTGAAAGACTAAATACAAAAAACTTTTTTTTTAACTCTTTGGCACATTTGTTCATAAACATCTGTTAAGTTCCAAATGAAGTACCAAAGACTTCAAAAAATTTTTTTGTATTTAGTCTTTAACATTGCAAATACATTTTATCCTGGATTGTTTTAATATTTTAATTTTACAAAGCTGGGGTTAGATTCACAAGTATCTTGTAAAATATGACATAGTTTCTCTCTGATATTGTAAAGTTATCAGAAACTAATGATATTTTATATTTAAGAAATTCAGTCCAACTGCCGAATTTCTTTGTAAATTAATAGGATGACTTATTTTCATTGTGAAATGTGACAGTATCCTTGGGAAATAAGTCATACTAGCATTACTTATCAGCATTGCAAAATTTTGACTGTATCATTTTATTGCCTTCTGTAATTATTCTGTATAAAATTTTCCTTCCAAAATTTTGTTTTTTAAATCTTTCAATATGCATGTTTTAGGATGTGATAGAAATTAATCGTGAACAATAATATTTCCTTTGTTTCTGGGTAGATACCCTTGACTAAACATTTAACATATTTTTGAAATTTGAACAAGATCATGAATATTGAATTTAAATTTATTTTCTCCTATTATACCATATAGTCTTTGAAAAATTGCAGTATGATGTAAGAGTGTAACTTTGGAGGGAGCCATGCTGATACTTCTATGAGAACAATTATTATAGATTTTTACAATATTGGATAATTTATCAATATATTTATAAGAATTATGATAAGTAAATAATCTGCATATTTTATTCCACAAAGTTTTATTTAATCTTTCGACAACGGCAGCCTTTGTATCTGAATGCATTGAGTAATGGTTAATTTTTATGTTTTAAACAAATTTTTTACTAACCTATTATAAAATTTTTTTCCCTTATCAGTCTGCAAATTTTTTGGAATGTTTTATTTATAAACTAGCTTACCCGTCGCACATTGCTGCAATCTCAGAAGAAACGAAATTCAAGCAAACTCGTTATGATAAAATTAAATTTACATTTTATCATTTTTATTGAAACTTATTATATTATTATTCATTTTCATTGGGAAAACATTTCAAAGTGTCGTTTCAATTCTATTTATTTATTGGAGTGCTTGTGGATACACGATATTTTTTGTTTTTCCGTCTGGT